ACCACCACTGCCGCTCCTTGCACGACAACGGCTGCTCCTGTGACGACGACTAAGGCGCCTACCACCACCGCTGCTCCTGTGACGACGACAAAGACGCCCATTGTGACGACGACTGTCCGTCCAACTACGACGACGACTGTCCGTCCAACTACGACGACGACAGTCCGTCCAACTACGAGTCGTACGCCGACGATGACCCCTTGTCCCTCTGCCCCCTAATCGAGCATCGTAGCTCGTGATGCATCTTGCACATTAACCAACAATTTTGTATACATGTATGAGTGTACTTCTTGTGTCGTCGTGCTCGTGGTTGTCCATGTTCGATGCCTCGACGCAAGCTGCAACGTCGTCGCTCACGACCGTGTTGGCTGAAGACGACGACGACGTAAACGTTGGGTTGGTGGATCGGATCGTGGCGACTTGTGCAGGCGAGGAGGAAAAGCTGGTGGGGGGGGGTGCGCAAGACATGCCTCCACTCGAGTCAGATGCGCACCCCGAGGATGCCGCCGAGCTTGTCTTGGTGTGTCTTGGGGAGCTTGTATGCGGAATCGAGCATGGCCGACCCCATCGACGCGAACAGCGCGCGGACGAGGGTCTGTGTCGCGTCCCGGATGTCCGTCTTGCTCTCTTTCAAGAGGTCGAATGCGAGTGGAAGGACATAGCTACAGAAAGATGAACGTCCGTCGTCGCTCGACCTGTCGGACAGACCGTGCAAGCGTCGACGACGTCATGGCGGGCGTGACGCGTGTGATCTTGTCGATCAGGACTGGCTTCGTTCGTCCGTTGGCGCTTCGAGCGGCCACGACGAACGGCGGACACACAAACTTTCCGTCGACGTGTTGGCAGAGCAAATCGAGCGCTTGATCCGCCAACCCCACCACCTGCTCGACACACGGTCAGGCGATGGGACAAACAACGCCACGGCGACCTTTTGATTGTTGGCCGCCAAGTTTTTTGTCAACGTCGGCACGAGGTTGGCAAGGACAGCGTCGACTCCGTTTCCGAGTGCTGGGATCACGTCGACGAGTGTGTCGAGCGCGCACAGAGTCACCTACATGGACGGACGCCGCACAGCCACTCGTTGATTGACCGACGGACGAGATCGTCACGCACCTTGGCATTGCCGTCGTCAAGACGTTTGTTGAACGTGTCAAACAACTGGACGAGTTTACCCGATTGACACAAACTCGACGCGTGGTGGTGCACAAACGATTTGCATGCTTCGACGGCATCGTACCGATCCTTCCAGTTGCTGCTTTCGAGCGCAACGACCATCGTCGACAGCTCGTCCTGCATGCTACCATGGGCTGCAACAGCTACATCGACGGTCGGCTTGAGTGCCTTGGTGGCATGCTTGGACCCTACAAGCTGTTTCTCCTGGGCCGAGGCCGCGCGAGTGACGTCGTCTGGCACCACCGTGCTCTGAAGCACGTGCTCCACACGGACCAACGTGGCATCTGCAACACATGTGAGACCGGCCGCTCTCCATCACTCGACGCCAGTCGTACTTGGGACTGCGCGCTGAAGCCGCGCCGAATCGACAAACTTGAGCGACTTGACATAGATTAACGTGGGCTTGGCAGCATCGCGAACTTCGTTGTTCGAGTCGCCCACCAACGCACACAACAACGACAGGCACCGGTCGAAGTCCCGGAAACCTTCGAGGCGACCAGCATGTCCTTCGGCAAGCAATATCGTGCCCACCACGACTGCCACCTGCAACGTAGCTGCCTCGGTTAGTGGATAGTATGGTGACCACGACGGACGGCGACGTCTCGTACGTGCTTGCGCACGAGAACGTGCTTGGATGTTGCATGGGGAAACAACGCTGCAAGCACCTTGCCCGCCGAACATGTTTGGACAACGGCTGCCAGTGTCTGTGCTGCCGCTTCGCTCAAGAACGCGTTCGTGTCGGCGGCTCGTTTCAAGAGCAACGGGATGACCTGCAGTGGGAGGTGTAAGTGGACGGCTGGCACGACAGGGGTTGCCGTGAGCACGCACCGTGTCCATTTCTGGATCCATTTTCCTCGTCAGCGACACGCACAGCGTCTCGATGGCCAACATGGCGTTCTTTGCAATGCTCGAGCGCAAGTTGCTAATTTGCTTGACGACTTGATCCACCAACGTCGTGAGCTGGCCCCCGACCACGTCTGGGGCATGCACCGCGATGCGGCGGAGGTCCGTAAGCCCTTCAAAGTTTCTTTCCCAGTCTGACGCATGCAAGAGCTCAACACACTTGGCCAACTCTGTCTTGGCCGATCCGGTCAACGGATACAAGCTCAACTCGGTTGTCGGCACGTACTCTTGTTTGCCAGCCCGCAGCGCCGCGCGAAGTTCGTCGCCTGATTTGAGGCGCCCGTGCGCACACGTTGGCAACGAATCGGCAGTTGCTACGGCGGCCGCGGCATCTTTGGCTCGTTTGGCTTCAAGGCGCTTTCGCGTGGCCAGGGTCATTACACGTGGGGCCGGAGGATTCGCATGTGGGGTCATGTCAGGCGTGGGTTCGACGTCGATGCGCTCGTACGGAGTGTCGGCCTTCATGGATGGGGCGGACGGTACGGTGCGCTTGGCAGCCACGCGTGGTTGCTGTAGTGATTCGCCTTCAAGAGTGTGCCAAGTCTTGTGTGCGTCGTCGTCGTGGAGTACCTCCCCTTGCACTGGCGTGACTGTCCGTGCTCGATGTGTCCGTGGCGAGTAGTACATGCCGTCGTCGCAGTCGTCAGCTGCCGCAAAGTCTTCGCGGGTGTGCTGCCTTTGCAGTGGATGTATCGGCCGCGAATCGATGGAATCCGACACGTTTTGTACACGAGGTCGATCTGTCAACCCTGGCTTGTCGGTTCTGCTCTGTTGGACCATAGGTTTGATGGGGCGGTCGTCGTCACCGCGACCTTGTGTCGCTGTGGATGAGGCATCGCTCGCAGGAAGTTGTGCGGGAAGGCGAAGACGATGCACGCGTTCGCCGGTGGGTAAGTACTTTCCCCCTTCAACTGGAGTTAACGCGGATGTCCGGGCAGCGTCGACAGACTTGCCAATTCGTTTTTGCAGAGACCGCTGTTTGAGTGTGGCCAAGCTCTTGGCAATGTCGTGGGCACTTGGCTGCACGGCCGATACAGTCGACGGAGGAGTCGAACTCCATGACGGGGATCCATCGCCGCCATCAATCGATTCGTTGGGTAACCACGTTTGCGACTTGTCCATGTTCCCCCGAGGTGGTAGCACGTCGTGCACTGGTGACGACGGGTCCACACACACGGACCCTCGCGCTGTCAGCACTGGCACAAAAGATTGATGTAGCCGCCGTTGCAGCACGTGCCAGTCGATGGCATCAGCGTGCTCATCTTGGTTGGATCGTAGGAGTGCTATCATGTCGAGTTTGAAAACATGTTTTAGCACCGCGCAGACTTCCATGGCGGTTTGGCGTACTCGGACGCTCGGGTCACTGAGGAGCCGTCCCAGATGCAGAACCAACGGCGCGACCGGCAGAGATTCGTTGGGGTGGCGGAGGATGAACATGAGCAGGACGAGACAAGCTTGTTCACGGACACGGGACGAATGGTGTTGAAAGGCTGGCGCGAGTTTGCCGCACACGCCGCGGTCGTACTGGAATAGTAGCTGCAGGAGGTCAAGCAGGACGACATCTTGAGGCATCTCGGACAGTACTTCGACGAGGACGGGGAATACGCCGTCGACGGTCCCAATCCTGTTCTGGATTGCTTGGACGACGTGCCGTATGCATTCCAGCGTGGAGCGAACAAGGCGGTGGGAGTCGGCAGGCACGACCACACACAGCGACAGCAAGAACGCCAGGAGCGATTGCCACTGACAAGTCAATATTTCAGCGTCAAACACCAGTTGAGTCAAGTTGTCCATGGCGACCAGTTTCTCTGGACTTGACGCTGTCGACGCGGTCAAGACGTCGACGATCCACTTGGGCACCAAGTCAAACTGCAGTTGCGACGCTGTCGCGCGAGAATCGTGGGCGTTTTTCTCCGGGATGAACTTGGCTATGAAGGGTTTGTGATCGACAAGGATCGCTTTGTCGCGTCCGTTGAGCCTTTGTGCGAGTTTGGCGAACGCTTCGTTGCCAAGATGGCCTTGTATCCACCCGAGCGTCTCCTCTGCCGCGACGACGGTGCTTTCTTCGTCGTCTTCCATGGACGGGATCAGGACCTCGACGAGCATGTCTAGTGCGTTGGACGGGTTCAACAAAGGGCTATCGATCGATCAAGAACACGTACGATAGTCCAAGGTGCACGCGTGCGTCGCCGTGGCATTCAATAGCATCAAGTGCTTGATTGCCAAAATCGCCGACTCTCGGACAATTCCATCGTCGTGATTCAACCCTTGGTTGATGAGGAGGTCCATGATTGGCCTCAAGTCGTTGCCGTCTTGTGCATATACCCACAGCACATGCAGGGCTGTTTGGGGAAAGGCAGCGCCATCTCGCCAGTCGTCGTCCGCCGGCAAGAGTGTCAGCAGCGGCGGAAGCACGATCTGGGCTAAGTGCGCCTTGTTTTCTGCACTGAGGACTGGCATCAAGTCGCACACCAAGTGCAGCGCTTCGACGACGACTCGACGGTCTGTGTCGTGCAGGCGTCGACGAAGACAGTTGAGGAACCGCCGTGCATTTCGAACTGGAAAGGACGGGGGCACGGTCGATTGCCGGGGCAATTCGGCTGCGATTTCGCGCAACTTCCTTATCGCATCATGCTTGATGGAAGAGTCGTCATCCTCCATTTGGTACACGAGCGTCTCCACAGATGCCTCCATGGCAACACGCCGCGGCCATAAATATGACAACGGAACCAAATCGGCACGGTGGTTTCATTTTCCACCTAATCCGTGGCGTCCAATGTCTCGCCAATTACAAGATTTTCATGGCGGTGGCACGACGAACAGGGCCATCTTGGTCGGGACAACGGCGTGGGTCGATCTGCGCGCTCACTCGCGAGCAACGTGTCCAAGGGTCCATTTACGATGACTTTGTGGTCGTTGCAACAGAGCACCAAGAAGAAATGGGGCGTGGTGGAGCTGATGTTGATGGATCTCAGGTGTTGTTGTGCTGCTCATTGTTGGGCCAAGCAGCACGTTGTGCGCTCGTTCAGCAGTAAACCTTCATTCCCCTCCCCGTGGCCTGCACGTCAGTCCCCGGATGCGTTCATCCACGCAGATACTGTGGGCATGCACCCTTTATCTGCCGCAAGGACGACGCTACGGATTGCCGTACAGGAGCACGCGTCCACAGATAGGACGCGTTGCCCGTAATTACGGGAACAACCCAGCGCGACTGCCGCGAACGCCTCCATGGTTCTGACTACAATTGGTCGTTCACAGAAGCAAAGGATCAATTGGTACGAAAACGTGCATGGTGGTGAGGTCGGTACATTATCATTGGAGTTTTGCATCGTCCTTTCCAAGCGTAAGATGGAGCCATGGAGGCTCTCGATGTGAAGCATGCAGTCTCACAACTAGACATCACTAGATTGGTGGCACGAGTTTGTGCATCCTGTCAGTGGATTCGTGCCACCGTTTCCGGCGCCTAGGCTGCCCGAAACGACGTTGAACATGATGGTCGGCACAAAATGGACATGTTGTCAAAACCACTTGGCCACCGCAACGCAAACATCCTTGGCGTATCCATCGCATTATTGCGGTTGTCGCACGTCGTTCACGCCCGGCAGTTGCGGCGGCATCCAACAATTCGCCATCGACGCTGGGGACTTTCGTGTCTCTAAAACTCGCTCGGAAGAAGGCGAGTTTTGCATCGCCAGGTCGTTTGGTCCAGTGGCCGCGTCGATTTGGGCTGAAGACTCGACAGCTATCGGCCATGTCAAACGTGAGCCCAACGGGTTCTCCGCGCTATCCAGCGTGCGTGCACGATGGGCAGGACTCACGCCATACTTGCAAACCAACGCTCGTTGATATCTTTGCTAGCGTTGTTCATGGTTGAGTTGCGTTTGAAAGGTTGAAAACGAAGTTGCTCGGCTTTCACATTTGGGACGTTTGCTGACGGGCGTTTCCAAGCTCGGGAGGTCCATCGCGCAACATGGACACGACATTTCCGACTCAAATGCACTCTTGACCATGGGCGAACGATGACGTGGCGAGTTTGAAAAGGGATCAAGTTGGATGGTATATGTATGAATTGGGATGCGCATCCTGCACCATTCGAACGACATGTTCATACACATGGTATCCATCCTCCTATGGTTTGTCGGTCGTCGACATGACTGGGCTTGCGGGGATTCCACAATCGGATTTGACGTGGACGACGCCAGGCGAACGCTCATGACGACGTCCGATCATCACGTGGCTGGATGTCTAAAGGACGACGCGGCGAGTCGACTTCGAGATGGTGCGTCTGCAGTGGGCTATCGAAAAACGCGTGGACGTCGCGATGCACGCTTTTCGCATAGTAGCCGTCGTCCGTGCTCGTCGTGTGAACGTCGGGCCAAGCACATGCGAAAGAGCTTGCAAATTGCCGCCCATAGCACTCGTGCAGCTTTATCGGCAAACATGTCGGGTTTTTGTCCTGCGCTAGGTCACCTGGGGCACATAGATTCACATTACACTTTGCTTGCCAGACTCGTTATGCGTCGTCTTCGCCACTGCCGCTCCCGTCATTGCCATCGTCACTGTCGTCGCTGTCTTCGTTGAACACGATGTCGAATATTCGGTCGTCGACGGCAAATTCGTCCTCATGAAATGGCATGACAAGCACAAAACTCAATGCGTCCTGCGGCGAGAGTTCGACCTTTAGGGCGCTCGGTTCCGCGAGCCATGCACACACTTGCTCGAGTGTCTCTTGTTGAAACTCGAACGATTCGACGTATTCCCAGTCCTTTTCGTCATCTCCGAGTACCCGCACTTCCATCGCGTCGCCACAGCTAGCTTCGTCGTCGGCGTTCTCGACTTCTTCGTCATCGCTCGCATCGTTGCTAGCGTCGGCGTCATCGGGTTCGCCGGCCGCATCGTTCCCTTCGTCCGTGCCACCTTCTTCGGCATCGCTTCCATCGTCTCCGTCGCTGACTTTAGCGTCGTCATTCGGCGATGCACAGTCCTGTTCCGCCTGACGGGCATAGTAACTCACGGGGTATCGCCCTGATGTGCGAAATGCGCACTCGACCAACGGGATTTTCTGTCCGTACCCAAACACAACGTGCACGCCAAACGCCACGGTTGTGCCAAATTGTTTGCCAGCATACTGACGGTCGTACGTGTACACGAGTTGCATGCGGTCGTGGTCAACTTTGGCCTTCTTCTTGCTGTGTTGATGTTGGGTTGCATGAGCCAACGACCTGTCAAACGTGACTACGCCTTCCATGAATACGTTTCGATTGGTGTCGCAATGGATGGCAGAGTCTTCCACAACAAACTCGACGAGTTGCGGGTGTTGTTTTGCCATGTCCGCAGTCAGTGGATGCTCCTTCACGCGGTCGCGAATCTTCTCCGTGTCGTACAACACTTTGGCCTCCTGCGCCAGACGGCGGTAAATGTCGACTTGGTACACATCCTCGTTCGCGCCAAGCTCCACGCACGCTTTGGCAAGAGCGGCGCGGACTGCCGCCGTCGAGCACGCTGAAAACGCCATTCCGACAACACACCAACCAGTGTCCAAAGGGCACGCACGAAGATAAACCAATCGAATCCATGGCAGAAAAATAAATAATGCTTCTATTGTTATGGATAAATGACGCCGACACCTCAAGTTCCCTACAAATAGTGTGAACAACGTTGGTGTCAAT